GGGTCTTTTGTTGTTCCATATAAATTTTAGGATTCTTTGTTCTATTTCTGTGAAAAATGTTTTTGGAACTTTGATAGGGATTGCATTGAATCTATAGATGGCTTTAGGAAGTATGGACATCTTAACTATGTTAATTCTTCCAATCCAATTAAAGTAATTACTGTTAAGGAACATCTTTCTTTTGTCTCTTAGAAATTTGTTTTGTGTGTTGTTCAATCATTTTTTTCCTCAATCCCTCTATTACTGTTGTTTATGCCATCTAGTTTATGGTATTTTTTATTGCAGCTCTAGGAAATTAATACAGGTAACAATATGGATGGACCTCAAATACACCATGGTAACAAAAAGAAGTGAGTCAAAGGCTACATCTTCTAGGATTTTATTTAAATGACATTTTTGCAAAGGCAAGAAAATATGAGCAGAAAATAGTTTAGTGGTTGCCATGGGCATTGAGTAGGAGAAGGGGTTGACCACAAAGAAACCCAGAGGTTTTGTTTAGATGATGGAACTCTTGTACATTGTGATTTTGTTAGTGGTTACATGATATAAATTTGACCAAACTGTTAGAACTATACACTACAAACTGAGGATAATACTGTTTGTAAATTATATTTTAATTAGAATGTTGGAGAAAAAAGAAATAACAAGTAATACAAAAATATGTGTGCATCCTCAACGTATCCAGCTAGGTCCCCACAGGCAATTTAATTGCTTTTTCCCTAGGAAAGTGGAATAAAAGCTATAGATATACTCATGGGGGACATCCTTATAGAGCTCCATGTCTCTAAAACTTCCTCTTGATTCCCATGAATTAGCCCCTAGTATCATGATATATTTTAATGTGACATTATTTTTGAAGGACTAGACAGTGTGCTGAGTCACTTTGGCCATTATTTATTCATCTTAATGTAAATAGTTGTTAGTACGTGAAGCTCTTCCTCCCACTTTGAAATCCTGACCTGAGGATTTGCTATGAACCCCTAATCATGTCCAGGAAAAACAATTGAGATGAAAATCATACTGATTGACTTTAAAATGATAACCCATCAACAAGATGTTTTATAGAATTTCCTTCATGTGTTATTCATAGACACAACTCCTCAAATTATGTGAGAGAGAATTTTATTACTTATTTTGCAAATAAGAAGATGACATGAGACTCCTCCAAGGGTACACAAAGAATGCATTGTGGGTTCAGTTTTTGAACACCAGTTCCTGGCTCCATATGTATTCTTCCCCTCATCTCTACTTGTCATAGAAACTTCAGAAATTTTTGACTAGTACCTGATAGAGAACGTCTCTCACAGTAAGTGTGCATTATTATGTGGCTGAATTTCTGATTTTGGGCACACAATTCAGGATTAACCGCCCTTTCTTTTCCAGCAACAAGGTAAGCTTCTATAATCCATATACACTTTTAGTGAGAAATGTAATTCATGGAAAAACAATGGGGAAGCTATACCTACTATGAGTCATTTAAGCATAGAGAGATTTTTTGAATATTTTGCTACAGCAGTGAATTGAGGCTGGACATATGTATCTAAGCTTCCATAGGAAGTTTAGTGATATTTCTGAAACATTATCACGCTGCTTTCCTAAAAGTGATTAGTAAAAAAATATGGATAGGTGATAGTCTGATTGAGTAGATATCAATTTCATCTTATTCACTATCTGTTTACCTCTCAGTGAAGGTTAAAAAAAAATGAGTGTAAAATAATCCTCTTGATTCCATATTCTGCTTTAACCTTTCCCCATAATTCCACTCTTATTATTACTAGCACATCTGTAAATGCTGACAGTGAGGTATCTAAAAACACACGGTTTTGATTTGGTCAAAACTGGGTTTGAATCTTAAATCTTGAATTTTCCTCATACTAGATGTTAATTGTACAGTTTACATAGTTTCTCAAATCATGAGTTCTCTTAATGGTAAAATGGGAATAACAATAGTACTTACTTCATAACATTACTGTGGGGATTAAATGAAAAGATATTTATACATACACACACATAATTATAAATGCATATAGATCTTATTATGGATCGTAGAACACAGTATATTCTACAAGTGGTTGTGATTGTCAAAGGTTGGCAAACATAATGACTTTGTGGGCTAGGCATGTAAAGTGAAGTTGTGAAAGGATTAAGGAGGATGGCAGTAAAACATAAATTAGCAGATAATAGATGCCCTTCTAAAGGTGTCAAAGCCAAATGAAATATTAAAAACACTGTTACTACAGTAGAATAGATTCAAATAGAAAATTTTAAAACCTTTAATTGTCCAAAAAAACAGATCTGCGGCCAACAGACTGGGAACTTTCATCCACTGGCCTCTGTGATTCAACTATGTGATAACAGTAATGAAAGAAAGAATGAATTTAAGAAAGGAAATTCTTTCAAATTAAGGTAAAACATGGATTTTAAAGAAGAAATTAAGGAAAAGGATGGCTCACATAAATTGGCTAGTACATCCACTCGTGCAGAGAGTGGAGGGACATACTGAGCAACACTGCAGACACAGAAAATCTCAGTGGACTTCATGTATAAAAAAAAGCAAACTGAAGAGGAAGCCTGCAAAACTAAAAAACTCATCCACACTGGAGCCTTGCGTTTCAGTATCCATCTTTCTCAAACAAACATGGAGGTTATCATTCCATCTTAATCTTAATCCTAATTTTAATGTTATACCTAATGCTAACTAGACTGTGCTAAATACCTAGCATTTTACTCATTTTTTTGCACTATCATTTACTTCTTACAATAACACCTTGAGTTAGGTCTCATTACTATTTTTATTTAGTAGATGAAGAAAATCATGTTCATGGGAGTTAGAATAGGACCAATAACTCCTAGGTAGTGAATGGTTGGGCTGATATGTACCTCATCCCAGAACCCAAGCTTTATACACAGTGCTATGTCTTCCCCTCAGAATTGCCTCTGCTGGTTGTACATGCCCCTGCTGCTCCTGTTGTACCACCACACACACTGTGCATACATCTCTCAGTTACTTCACTGTGAAATTCCAAACACTGAGTTTAGAACTTTGGAAACATGGAAAAATTGTAAATTGAATTAAATTCAATTTGACTTAAATTCAGTTAAGACCAGTGGACTTGGGAATCACTCTACCTGGATACAAAGCTTGGCTTTCACAGTAATAATTTTGTAAGATAAAATGCATTACTCAATCTCTGCGCTTCTTAAGTTCAGTGGGGACAGCAATTAATCAATCTCATAAGGTTGTTGAAAGTAATAAATGAATATACATGTAAAGCGTCTAAAGCGGTTCCAGACACATGAGCAATATAGATCTAAGCATTTACTATGCCCAGAAAAATGGAATTGACAGATATATTTGTTCAAGACATTTCATTTTAATCAAGTCATTACATTTTCTACATCTCTGTTTACAAATTTATAAAACTTAAAAGTTTGAGTATGATCCATGAAAATCTTTTAGCATCAACAGTGTGTAACTCTATAGAGAATTTGTGTCTTAAATTTTATTGTCTAGATGATACTTTAGATCTGGACATCTTGAAGTACAAATTATTGCTGTAATGAAATATTGTGTATATATATATATATAGACACACACAATTTTGAATAAATTTCATTTCAATTTCTTATTGTTTTATCACTTTTCTTTTATTTCTCACTGCTACAGGGCACCCTGTGATTCCCAAATATCACCCATGGAGAACAATACAGAAGTGACTGAGTTCATCCTGCTAGGACTAACCGATGCCCCAGAACTACAGGTCCCATTGTTTATATTGTTCACTCTCATTTACCTCGTCAATGTAGTTGGAAACCTAGGGATAATCCTGTTGATTCTCTTGGACTCTCATCTCCACACTCCCATGTACTTTTTCCTTAGTAACCTGTCTCTGGGGGACTTTTGTTACTCTACAGCTGTCACTCCCAAGGTCATGGCTGGATTCCTTATAGGAGACAATGTCGTCTCCTACAATGCATGTGCTGCTCAGATGTTCTTTTTTGTAGCTTTTTCCACTATGGAAAATTTACTCTTGGCATCAATGGCCTATAACCACTACACAGCAGTGTGTAAACCCCTACATTATACCACCATAATGACGACAAGAGTGTGTGCACGTCTTGCCATAGGCTTCTATTTCTGTGGTTTCCTGAATGCCTCCATCCACATTAGGGACACATTCAGTCTCTCTTTCTGTATGTCCAATCTTATACATCATTTTTTCTGTGATGTTCCAGCAGTCATGGCTCTGTCTTGCTCTGATAGACATATTAGTGAGCTGATTCTTGTTGCTGTGGCAAGCTTCAATATCCTTTTTGCTCTCCTGGTTATTTTGATTTCCTACTTGTTCATATTTGTCACAATCCTGAAGATGCACTCAGCTGAGGGCTATAAGAAGGTTTTATCCACCTGTTTTTCTCACCTCACTGCAGTCTCCATCTTCTATGGGACAGTCATCTTCATGTACTCCCAGCCCAGCTCCAGTCATTCAATGGACACAGACAAAATCGCATCTGTGTTCTATACTATGCTCATCCCCATGTTGAACCTTGTGGTCTATAGCTTGAGGAACAAGGAGGTGAAGGATGCATTCAAGAAGGTTGTTGAGAAGGAAAAATATTCTGTAGGTTTAGTCTTTTAATGACGTAGAATCCACAAAAGTTGTTTCATCCCTTTAGATCTACTCCGTGTCATAACTCAGTGTTTGTGGCCACATAGGATAGTAGAAGATAAAATTTTTTCTAGTATTATATACTTCTTTAGTTTTGGAACAGGTCAAAGATCCAAAATGAAGAAAAATATGATAACTTTTTTTAATAAAACTTACTTAACAAAGTATATGTGGTTTTGGGGCACATTTTATCCAGACATAAATAGTTGCAGCATCTTAATAAATTAATGTTTTGGTAATTACAGAATGTTTTTGTAGAAAAAGCAAGTTCAGGCGATGATTTGTGAAAGATATGTGCCATCTTAGACTAAAGTGGGGAGAATAAGTCATTTTTTACCTTAACCTTATAACCAGCAACTCTTCACATTATGCTAAAAATAGTGCACTGATATTAATAGTGCTATTTTGTTTTTTTAGAAGAAAGGCTCTGAAATGTTACTTCTATTATTGCTACTTTAGTTGAGCTGTATCATGTCTTATCACTCTCCTACTCATTCACCCCACTTCATTTACGCTGATATCTTGCTATTCCTGGACAACTCCCTGCATGACCCTGTCTCAGAAGCTTTGCATTTGCTATTTCTTCTGCCTGGAATACCCCCACAATCATTTCAGATTGCTGGTTAAATGTTATCTTCTCAGAGAAGTCATACAGGCCTTCCCTGAACTATTTTATAAAATAGTGACTCCATTCTTCTTGGATCATCTTTCCTCAGCCTGATTCACTCTTCATAGTTGTTATCAACATTCAGCTCTTACATTTATTTGGTCTCCTGTTCATCTATATCCCTCAGCTGGAATGGAAACTCCTCGTGAGTAGTAGCTTAATCTGGTTATTTCATTGGAAATAGAGCTTTGAGTCTTGATTTAAAAATTATTTTACTGAGCATTAAACAACTCAAGAATTTCCAAGTTGTATGGGTGGAAGTAACTTGTAAAAACTATAAATTTCAAGGGGAACATACTCCCTAACATCCATTTGATAATGACTCCAACCTTTGCAATAAATTGGAAGCCTCAAAAAATTCTCCACCCCTAGCATTGAACAGCCAGCCCTAGTGGTCTAGTGGTTAAGATTTGGTGCTCTCACTGGAGTGGCGGTTTTGTTTCCTGGTCAAGGAACCACAACCCCTGTCTGTGGGTTCTCATACTGTGGCAGCTGGGTCTTGCTGTGATGCCAAAAGTGATGCCACTAGTATCTCAAATATAAACAGGGTCACCCATGCTGGACAGGTTTCAGTGGAGGTTCCAGACTGAGACAGCCTACGAAGAAGGACCTGGCCACCCACTTCCAAAAAAATTGACCATGAAAACTCTGAATAGCAGTGGAGCATTCTGTGATATAGCAGCAGAAGATGAGAGGATGGCACAAAAGACCAGGTAGGGTTCTTCTCTGCTGTACACAGTGTCTCTAGGAGTTGGAATGGACTCAACGGCACTAACAACAAAAATCATTGAACAATCTTTCCTCTTTTGAAATTCTCCAAACTGTTTGCTTTCCTCCTGGCAGCCTACAAAGGACTGACAAATATATCTGAAGACAAATTAAAATAATGTTTCCCACTTCCCCAAATCACACCCTAATAAAATGTTTGCAAATCATACATTGACTCAGTATTTATTTGTTATACTCAATAAACTTACATTCCTTTCTAACACCCTTGAACTCTTGCTGAAATGAAAGTGGTAGAAGATGATTTCCCTTGCTACAAGTTTATGAATAAACTTTCTCTTTAAATTTTGTGTTGGACGTAGTTTTTTCCTTAACCTTTCCAACACCTTCAGAAGAGGTAATGAAGAATTACTAAGGGAAAAAACAAATATTTAGGAGATTGGACCAGGCATCAAGGAAAACAATGGAAAATTGAGTTTTACCCAGAGAGAATAATCAGATTATCATAAAGAAATATTTCCCAACACCAGGGTTGAGGGGCCTTCATATTGTTAATTTAGTAAGATTTCTAAACTGAAATCTTGTGTGTCTTCCATTACTGTCAGTTATGAATGGAAGTTTTTCTATCTAATTATCTTTACTCTGGTCCAACATAATTTATTGGGTGTGAATGGAGAATGAGCTGTTTTCTTTTTAGTGCATAGGTTGCTAGACAACAAGAAGCCACATCTGGACTGGGTGGAGAGGACCATTTAACCTCCTCGAAAGCCTGGACATTGAACTTCAATGTAGATAAGTTAGAATTTGTGTTGTCTCCCTGGTGGAGGTGGATAATAAGTTTTCTGTGTGAGAGGATGTGTAAAATGAATATTTGATTATCCTGAGCATTACAATGGAAAAGACTGGTTAGATAATTTCCCAATTATTTTCATTTTTCTCCTCGGAATATATGTAGGCTCTATTTCTCAGCCTTCAAACAGTTAATTGTGACCATGTCCTTGTGTTCTTGTCAATGAAATGTGAGTATGTCATATGTGCCACTTCCAAGTCTGGCCCATGAGACTCCTCATGTGATCCTCTGCCTCTTCTCTTTCTTTGTCATCAGCTTGATGGAGAGTATTCAGACCACAAGAGATGACAAAACCACTAAATGGAAAGAATCTGGGTCCTTGAATCTTTGTATAAGTTCTCATAGAACAACTAATTCAACAATATAAGAGCATGAAAAACCTCCCTAGCCATGCCACTGCAATTTTGAGGTTTGCTTGTATGGCAGCTAGTATTATATCCCCTAACTAATATAGAGAGATTCTCATAAGGCAATCTGGATGCTCTTGGTGGTGGTGCGGTGCATATATGCTGGAAAAGGCTATCAAATCTCTCCAACACAATTTAATTCTATGGTTGTTTATTTGTGAATCCTCACCCAGCCTCTGAATCATAACTAGTATGGCTAGCACAGGTTTTGGAGACTGAAGAAATTCAATTTGAATTCTATTCTAACCAAACTTTGTGATATAGGGCAAGTTATTTAAGTGTTCCCAGCTTCTACTGGGGAAACTAATGCCTTTATCAAAGAATTACATTAAATGGGTACTGAATGAGCCAGAGTATAGCACAAGCCTGAAACAGAATAGCTGCTCAAAATATCTTAGTATCCTGTCCCTTCCATGCCTTTTCCTGTCCTTCTTTCATTCTGTCATCTAATTTGTCAACTTTCTTCATATAACTATTAGTATACTTATGAATTTTATTGGTTTGTATTTACAGATTTAGCTGTATTACTGAATTGTGGGTCCTTTGTGGCCAAAGATGTTTTAGGTATCTATTCTCAGAATCTAATGTTTATTCCACAGAAGAACTCAAGAGTGTCTAATAAAATTGTGATTTAGTGCAGCAATAAACTTACGTGGGCTGACCTCACTATTAACTAGGCCACGAATTTTTATCTCTACCATCTTTTCATTCATCATACTGAGCAAAATATAATTGTATATTCATTTTTGTGTGTGTTTACTTCTTTAATTTGTCTTCTAATTAGAATACAAGTTCTGTGTATACCGGAACAATGTATGATTTTTTCACTAACAAATACTCATGCCTAGATCAGAGTTGGGGCTCAGTAAAAAATTTTAATGAGCAAATGAATGACAAGAGGAACTGAACAGAAAAACTCATCATCTGTTTGTGGAAAAGAGAACCCAGTCAACAAAACATGCTAGGTCATGCTGCAGTAACACATTAAATTTAAAACACAATAGTTTAACACAACAAAGAGTTTACATTAGTTTCGTATGGTTGGTGCAACAAATTAGCAGACATTGAGGAATTAAAACAACACGCCCTTATTTCCTCACAGTTCTGGAGGCAGCTGTTGGAAATCAGTTTCACTGCGATGAAACCAAAGTATCCATCTCCGGAGGCCCTAGAGGAAGCTCTGTCCCTTGTATATATTATCACGTGGCTGCCAGTATTCCTTAGCTTTTTTTACATCAATCTAATCTCTGCCTTTATGGTCACATTATTTTTTCCTCTTATTGTCTAATTTCTCTCTGCTTCTCCCTTTTTAATTTATACTAAATGTACATAACAAATTTTACTATTTTAAAGTGTATAATTCAGTCATATTTAGTATAGGCACAATGTTGTGCAATCATCACATCTATCTAGTTCCAAAAGACTTTTTCATTCACAAAGATCCTGTACTCATTAAGGCCCCTATCACTGGAAACCAATAATCTGCCTTCAATCAGTATGAATTCACTTATTTTGAATATATCACATGAATTGAATCATATAATATATGACCTTTTATATCTTACTTCTTTTACTTAGTATACTATTTTCACGACTCATTCATGTTGCAGCATATGTCAATACTTCACTTCTTTTTATTACTGAATAATATTCCATTGTATGTATATACACCCCATTTCGTTCATACATTCTAATTGATGGACACTTTGATTGTTTTCATCTTTTGCCTGTTGTTAATAATGCAGCATAAGTACTTGTATTGGTGTACAAGTATTGTTTGAGGACCTGTTTTTAATCCTCTGGTTATATAATTATGAGTAGAATGGCTGGTTCATATGGTAATTCTATGTTTAACTTTTGAAGACCACCAAACCATTTTCCACAGCAACTATCTCATTTTACATTCCCACTAACAATGTACAAGCATTCAAATTTATTTACATCCTCAGGGAAACTTGTTAGTTTCCATTTTCTTTTATAATAGCCATGTTAATTGGTGTGAAATAGTAAATCGTTGTAGTTTTCATTTACATTTCCCTAATGACAAACAATTTTGAGCGTATTTTCATGTGCTTATTGGCCTATCACAAATCATCTTTAGGTAAATGTCTATTCAAGTCCTTTGCCCATTTTTCATTTGCACTGTTTGCTTTTCTGTTGTTGAGTCGTACAAGTCCTTTATATGTTTTGCCTATTAAGTGATTACCAGAAATATGACTTGCAAATATTTTCTCCCATTCTGTATGTTTTCTTTTCATTTTCTTGATAATGTACTTTGATACACAAAAATTCATTTTGAAGAAATCCAATTTATCTCTTT